CTTTTTTAGAAATGGGGTCTCACACAGTCACCCAGGCTGCAGTGCAGTGGTGTGACCATAGCTCACTGCAGCCTCAAACTTCTCACTCAAGAGATCCTCTTGCCTCAGCCTCCTGAGTAGCTTGCAGAACAGGTGTATGCCACCACACCTGGCTAATTTTTTTTTTTTTTTAGAGATGGGGTCTTGCTATGATGCTCAGGTTGGTTTCAAACTCCTGGGATCAAGAGATTCTCCGACCTCAGCCACCCAAAGTGCTGAGATTACAGGCATGACCCACCACACCTGGACGACTATTAAATTTTTGAAATCATGCCAAAGAATTTACATGAATAATAATAGTCCTAAATCCCAATTTTTTACTAGAGACCCAATGTGCATAGATTTATAGGATCCCAAAAACTAGACTAAGAAAAAACAAAGAAAGGAAAGGAGACGAAACAACAAAACCTGAACCAAATAGTGCTACAGGAATCTTAACACAAAAGGGTCATTTGTTTGAAGAAGGTATTTTTGAGACTAAAACCTGTCAACCCCTTAAATTCCTACCTTGTCCCTCTTTACCTTTTAAAATTGAGAAAAAAGGGAACAGATGGAAATATCTAAGCAAATAGTAGTTAGATTACAGGGTTTAGTCAATGAGCTATGACGGAGCTAAATGACAAAATACAGCTTGGCATCCAGAGGTGCTAATAAAGTACTTCGCAAATAACCAGACTCTATGTAAGAAAAAGTATGAGACCCCAAATTTAAATTTATTTAAGGTGTATCTTGCTTACATGTGAAATGTACTACAACTAGGTCTCAGCAAGGATTCAAAAACACCCTAGCAAATTCTGTAAATTATCTGTGGTATGGAGGGCAAGAATTATAATGAGGATAATCAAAAATCAGGCCTCTCTTTACCTTTTTAAGCTAATAGTTTTTATCTTCCAACCAATTAATCTTTTTCCTAGAGTTACTGATAGGTTTAAAATTGCCTTATTTGAATTCAGTAAGTTTTGATTTACCTTTAATGACTAGAGAAATATTGAAGGCAAACCAAACTAGATTATTAGACTGAATAATTTAGACATTGATGTTGATTTTACCATTTTAAATATGGATATAATTTTAATAAAATTTTATCCCATTTTCTTATGAATGACATTATTGAAGCAATATAATTGTTCTAAAAGGTCAGGCTATTCAAATAAATATGAATTAGGACAACAGAAAACATGACAGATGTTTTGCCTTCTGTTCATTTTATTTTTGTAAGTAAAAGACCTGGTTAGATAATCTTCCTGCTTAATTTCCAAATAAAATACTCATATCAATTTTCACATATATACAGTAAGAAACACATTTATATAAGTTTGAAAAGTATAATGGAAGCAGTTTTAAGTAATCTCCATTTAACCAACTCACTGGATTAACTGATGCTCTCCACTTCCTTGGAAAAGCACACAGATTAATGCCTGGGATAAGCCACAGACCGTCAGAGAACAGGCGCACCCTACCCTTCCATTCCCACTTGCTGCAATGTATGGTTAACAAGGATCATTTGAGTTTGTGACTGTAGTGGGTTGAATAGTGTTCCCCAACAATTTATGTTCACCTGGATCCTCAGAATGTATTCTTACACGGAAACAGTGCCTTTGCATATGTGATTAAGGTATGTGTTCAGAAAAGCTCATATTGGATGCAAGTGGGTCCTGAATCTAGTGAGAATGTCCTTGAGATAGGAAAGGACACAGAGACACACAGCCATGTGAAGACTAGGCAGAGATTGGAGTTATGTTACCAGAAGCCAAGGAACGCCTGGGGCCACCAGAAACTGGGGCAAGGAAGACTGGATCTTCCCTAGAACCTTCCGAGGGAGTATGGCCCTGCTGGTGACACCTTGATTCTAGAATTCTCGCCACCAGAACTGTGAGAGAATAAATTCCTGTTGTTTTAAGCCACTCAGTGGTGATCTGTCACAGCAGCTCTAGGAAAATAATACAGTTACCAAATTGATTATGCCAGTTAAACTTTTTATGGTGATTACACAAGCCAATGACATGAGCATAAAGACTTGTAGTTTCTATGAAAGCCAAACTGAATTCTTTGGCAAGACTAGGTAACAGTGGGTTTCCTTTAAAAATTAAAAAAAAAATTTAAAGCTATTGGTTAATTAAGTGTGGGAAAAACAATTCTAAAAGATTGCGAAGAAATATAGTAAAAATCTACAAGAATTCTGCACCTCTGGTTCACATCTATGTAATGTAATGCATGTGATTTGCACAAGAAAGATAATAGAAAACACCTACCAGTGGGCCTATACTGGAAGGCAGCTATGCTAACCATTATATCACCAACATCCCAGCTCAGCAGACCTATATTGAAAAGTTAGAAAAAACCTGGGTCCTTTGGCAAATAAAGAATATTTATATTTTAAATTAAAATGTCTAAGAAAATTATATATATATATATGTATATATAATGACACCCTACTTTAAATAACCCTGGATTAACCAAACAACTAAGAGTTTCAGATGACAGGACTCCTGCTATACTACCAGAAGGCAAATTTGTTATGTCTAAGGCCAGTTAACTTTAAATACGTATGGTCATCTCTTCAATTGCCACAGCTCTATAGATGCAGATGATTCCAGGTGATAATTTTCACCTGATTCAATTTCTGTCCTTACAAGGCCATGCCTGCTCAGTTTCACATTTTCCACGGATGAAATCCTGGGTTAATATTGTGGGAAGAGATGCATGCCCATTACACACACATTCCCTGATTTTCCAAAAATGCAATTTTTCCTTCACCCTGTTAGAAATGATAATATCATCATGTTCTGTCAAATTTTGAAGAGAAGCATTTGCCCTCCTCTCCAATTTTACCTTTTTTTTTTTTAATTTTAGACATGGACTCCCTAGCAGTTGGCAGGCCTCAGAAAAGAATTCACAATTCATTTTCTACCTTTTACTATTTCACTTTATGTTATGTTGGAGGAACATAAAATTATGCTATTGAAAATATTCTGTATTACTGAAAAATATATATAATATACTAATAATACATAATGATTCATTTATTTCTTCCCTAATTATCCTTCTAAATGCAGAACTACAGATTTACTACAAGAGACAATGAGTTATTTCTTTTTCAGAAGGTAATGCTATTTATTTTTTTCTAAATGAACAAGTTAAAAGAAAGCACCAAGTATACCACCAGTTAAAATGAAACTTGAAAACTAGCAGGTTCTCTCTTCCAAAATGACAGCAGAAATGCTATCGGACAAGTAAATTAATGCCTGAAAAGTATTAACTCGACAAAACCATATTTTACTAAAATAGTTTATTGCAATAAGATATTCACTGTACTCAAAATCAATACAAAGTTATTAAAATTATTTACATACAAATGAATAAAACTATATAATTAGTAACGGATGTGAGTAAACATTTTTAGCCTCTAAATCAACACATAACTTTCTAAGGCTTGTTAATAAAACCTTAGAAAATATAGCAAAGAAAAAATAGCTGTTAAAATCCGCTGATTTCTGTAAGAAGAAAAGTCCTCCATGAAGGTATATTTGAGACATATAATTTATTCCTTTGAAGGGTAGCTGGAGAAAAGTCTGATTCACTTCTGTTATGGCAGTCCAGGGAACATTATGATTAGTTAAATAGCATATTTTCCAAACGTCACACATCCTATACCTACTTCCCCAACAGATTTTTCCTCAATATTAATGTCAAAGTAGACTGCATTTCATAATATATAAATTAAAAAGTATCCACATTAGTTTTTAGTCAGTTTGGAACTAATGTCCATGGGGTAACCAACTACTACCAATTCTGGTATTTGCATGTGTGTTCACTTAGATATGCCCCAAAAAACTGGTCTGTTGAATTTAAAAAATATATTAAGATGCCAAATAAATCTATTTCATTATGAAATGGAGACTTTGATTAAGAATATATTTTTATTAGGCATTTTGGTAACAAATTATTACTCTAGTTATAGCTGATTTATTCAGTGTATTTTTAAAAGCAAATGAATCCCACTGTGGTTTTTCTTGAAGGAAAAATCATTTCTCCAGTTGTTGAGGGGTACTAAAAGCTTCGTACACATTAGCAGCAAAGTCTTTCACTTGCTCCATCATCAACAGATCCTAGCAAAGATGACAATAAACATTATAGTTTGCAAAAAGTATAAATAATTTGAATTCATTTCTACAATTAAGCAATGAATTTAGCTCTAAGTTTTGTGGTAGTTAAGGCTAAGAAACAAACCATTTAAGAAAAGGAATATTTTTTCTTATAATAAATTCTAAGAGATAGTTATTATTTAGGTTCTTATATGAGGGATGGGGTGGTATTATAAGCATTCAAGTGTGACTTTGAGGAAAAAAACCCAAAATTGTCTTCAAAGGAATTTTTGTGTATGTCAAGTGCTAGATAAGTATCTGTTGCATAAATGATTACAAGACTAAAGTTACAAGACTAAAGGTACTTTTTCTGGAAGCTGACATAACATAGTTAAGGCATACTACTTTCTAGAAGATGTAACGTGTATATGTAGTATGTGCATATTTTATATATACACACATACACAAACCACACATATATACTTTATTTCTCATCTATTTTTGTTATATTTTTTCAACTTGCAGGCAACCTGCTATATATGTATGTATACTTTATTTTTTAGAATGTTTTTAAAATTTCAGAATATTAAAGGGGTATAAGTGTTTTTGTTACAAGGATACCTTGTTATATACACTTTAGAGCAAAGGTTCTTAACACTCCAAGGGGTTTGCGGAATGTTAAAGAAAAGGAAAAAAATTACATCTTTAGTTTTACTAACCTCTAACTAAAATTTGGCATTTCCTTCAATTATGAATGCAGGCAACAAACTGATGGTACTAGCAGGCTCTGTCAATTTGTCTTCAATAGAAATCATAGACATTTTCATATCATATGACAGTTGTGGAAGTTATCAGAACTCCCATTCCATCTTTATTTAATGCATGATAAAGCAGCACTATTGATACATCATAAATTTGATTTTAAAAGATGTTTTGAAACCTACATATAATTGGTTTCCCTCAAAACTTTATGTGTTTTACTGTATGCATTTATAGACATTATTCTGAGAAGGGGTCCATAGGCTTCACCAGACTGTGAAAAGGTCCATGACAGAAACCGTTGAGGGCCTTGGTGAGTGCCAACAAATAGGAAGTAAACCTGGCCCTTCAATTTTCTTAAGTATCAGAAAACCCAAGTGAGCTTTAGGCAGGTTTTGATCTCAATCACTTTACGGTTAAATTCTCTCATCAGGCCAGGCCCACTGGCTCATGTCTATAATCTCAGCACTGTGGGAGGCCCAGGCGGGAGGACTGCTTGAGACCAGGAGTTTGAGACCAGCCTGGGCAGCACAGTGAGACCCTGTCTCTACAAAAACTAAAAAAAAGTAGCCGGGCATGGTGGCACACGCCTGTAGTCCCAGCCACTTGGGAGGCTGAGGCAGGAGGATCGCTTGAGCCCAAGAGTTCCACATTACAGTGAACTATGATCACACCACTGACTCCAGCCTGGGTGACAGAGCAAGACCCTGTCTCTAAAAATAAATAAATAATAGTATTTATCATGTTTGGAGTGCACAAAAGAGAATTCGAGTAAAATGCCAAACTAACCTGATCAAGGATAGTGCAAAATTTTCTTTCTGCCTAAAAAGAGCTCTAAACTCCTTTTTCCTTAGAAGAGGTATATAGACAAGTTTGAGAAACACTAATATTATAGTGCAAAAGTAGCCATAAATAATACATAAACCAATAAGCATGGCTGATGTCCAATAAAACTTACAAAAACAGGTGGTTGGCCAGATTTGGCTCATAGTTCATAGTTTCCTGACCCCAGCTTTAAGTAAAGACTGTAAATCTGTTCAAGTACTGTATCCTGATGCAGCTTCCAGGATGTTTTCAGTAGTCTGAGATAAAAATTGCATATCACAGGGTTGGTTGATAGGTTGGTTCACAGGTTGGTTATAAATGCTCTCTCCTTATGTTATCTGAAAGCAATCTAGTAATAATTTCCTTATTTGAAATAAATTTGAAAATAATATTGAACAACCACCTCTCTCAATTGTTTTCTGATGCTCCTATTTCCTACCTTTCCCTGCTATACTATCATCTTAATATCTTCGACCACAGCAATCAGCAAAGTCTGGCCTGCAGGCCAAAGCCACTGCTGCCTGTTTTTTTATATAAAGTTTTATCAAAACAGCCACACTCACTTGTTCACGTATTGTCTACGACTGCTTTAATGCTACCAAAGCAGAGCTGAAGTTTCCACACAGAATGTACATTGCACAGGGCCTAAAATATTTTCTATCTTTAGAGAGTTTGCCAACCCTGTTCTACAGCATTCCTACAATAGGATCTCCTACACACCTCTGTGGGTGAAGTAGTAGCAGTAATCCAAAAGCATTAATTTTAAGTAAATTAATATATTAATGAAAGCAAAGGTTTCATGAAAGATAAATGGAAATAGTACAACATATGACAATTTATTAAGTAGACCACTTGGTATCTTAACTCATAGAAGTCACAGTTTAAAAAATTGGTAGATGTCTTGTCATCAATGGTCTAGTATATAAATTTAACATACATCCAGTCACACTAAAAAAATTTTACTGAACATTAGTATCAATGGTGTTTTTACTAGGTTGAAACCATTTCTTTTTATTACCAATTAATTTTATTGCTTTTATTACCAATTAAGTAATTTTATGTGATCTACTATACCTACTGGTCAAGCAAGAGACTTCTACAGAAGTGGGCAAAGGTAAAGTTTAAATGCAGCAGTTACAACTTTTTTTCTCACACTGGTATACAGGTGAAGCTTAAAATTCAGTGAAATGAGATCGGCCTTACTCACTATTTCTTCTGCAGTGTGAATGCCCAGTCCTATGGGTGAGAAAGATGACATAGAAGACTGCAGAGCACAGCGAGGGAAACGTGCATGTAAAGGACAGGCTAATGACACCACAGTGAAAGGAAGAAATACACCCTTTATACTCAGGGCTCATCATGTTCCCAAGAGCAAAACCTCTACAGAGAAGATACACTAAGTTGTCTGAAACAAATTACACTAAGAAGATGCCATCTTTACACTCAGTCTTTAGGGTCTCTTCTCACTGCACATTATTGCAGCAGTTTGCAATTGAGGTGTATTGCAAGTAATTTTTTTTTGACTTATAAGACAATTTTCAAGTTTGCATATGACTCAGAAACAAAATGTATGGATTCAAAGTTATCCCGTTAATAACATCAGTCTCACTCAATGCATTCCAAATGCTTTCCTAAGAAAGAAGATGGAATTATAGGAAATCTAGTGAAAAATTTAAATAACTCATTGTTTATGCAGCTTTTAGTGAGATTATTGATGCACTATTAACAGTTATATTTTATTAATTACTAAAATGCTTTACTTCTCCACAAAAGATCTGTCTCAAGGCTCAATCTTCTTACTAGCACAGCTTAATGCATAATATTAATGCTATATAAATTCAACTGATCAGTATAACATACCTGGACTAAAATGCAGTCCTAGAAGTGTTGGACTATACCATGGAGAAAGGAACTCCCAACTTACAAATTTGCTATCATACATTATTACTCTCATGGGGCATTCTACCACATTCTACATGTAATTGCAAGTTCTGTGTTTTTTTGAACAAATATCACAGCAAAGAATGTAACTTCTTGCTAGACAAACATGATCATACCAAGAATACAATTTGTTTTTAATAATACCCCCAAGCTTTCTTCTTACCTGAACAAAATGACTAGGTGTTTCACTGCAAACCGAATGGATCTGTCCATTTACTATTGGAATTATCTTAGCTAAAGGCAGGCTGACACTGGAAAGACTGAAAAGTCATCATAGTAATAATCATTGTCTGAAATTACCTCATAGGAATTTAACATCTTAATTATAAAAGTAATACACAGTCATTGCAGGCTTATGGAAATCTATTAAAAAGAAAAAAACCAAACAATTTTATCACCTAGAAATAACAACTATAATTGACACATGGTTAATTTCTTCTGGTAATTTTTATGCATATCTTTGTTTTTTAACATAAAACTCTCACCTTCCAAGCACACTGTTTTTGCATTTTTATCATTATGAACATTTTTCCATCTTATTAAACATTAAGTTTTTATCTGATTGTTTTTAATTAATTATATAGTAACCCATCCTCTAGCAGTTGACAATTTACATTATCAGCTCCTTAGAGTTGGGCATTTCAGTTTTTGCCTAAATTTTCTTTCTTTTTAAATTTTTTTTTAATTTTTGTTTTTTTTTGAGACAGGGTCTCATTCTGTTGCCCAGGCTGGAGTGCAGTGGCATGATCATAGCTCACTGCAGCCTTAAATGATCCTCCTGCCTCAGCCTCCTAAGTAAACTACAGGTGTGTGCCACCATGCCTAATTTTTTTTTTTTTTTTGGTAGAGATGGGGTCTCGCCATGTTGCCCAGGCTGGTCTCAAACTCCTGGACTCAAGTGATCCTCCTGCCTGGACCTCCCAAAGTGCTGGGATTACACGCGCGAGCCACTGTGTCTGGCCTAAGTTTTCTTAATATAAATAACTTTTTGTATAAACATGGAATTGCTGGGTCAAAGGATATGAATGTTTTCAAGGCTTATAACGCATATTGCCAAATGCCCCCTGCTTCCCCAGCAGATTATCTGCTCCGCCATGCCTTCTTTCTACATCGAATATTTTTTCTTTAATCTTTGTATGTCTAACAGGTGAAAATGGTATCTTATAGGTTAAATCTGTAGTCTGTATTTCTCTTAATTACTATCAATGTTGAATGTTTCCCCCCCTACTCTGGTGAACTACAGCATTATCTATTAGGCTGTATAAGCAGGAAGCCTGGGCATTATCCTTGGCACTTCCTTCTTCTGCCTCTATCCAATCACATATCCTAAACATTTCTTAAAAGTGTCTACTTCTCCCCATTGCCAAACCTAGTCCTAGCATATAAATTTAACATACATCCCGTCACATTAAGAAACTTTACTAAACATTGATATCAGTGGTTTTTACTAGGTTGAAACCATTTGCTTTTATTACCAATTATATAAATTTTAATTAAAATATAGTACATAAAATTACTTAAGCCTTAAGACTGATGATGTTTCCCACTTCTCTGTCCAAATCAAGAGCCTGCTGGTCAAGTGAGTGACTTCTACAAGAGTGGGCAAAGGTAAAGTTTAAATGCAGCAGTTACAACTTTTTTTCTCACACTGGTATACAGGTGAAGCTTAAAATTCAGTGAAATGAGATCGGCCTTACTCACTATTTCTTCTGCAGTGTGAATGCCCCACCCTCATGGCTGAGACAGATGACATAGGACTGCAGAGCACAGCGAGGGAAACGTGCATGTGAAGGACAGGCTAGTGACGCCACAGTGCTAGTCCAAGCTAAGCATTATCTCTTGTCTGGACTATAGCAATGACTTTCTAGTTTATAAGAGCCCAAGGAATATTTTTTGGATGAATAAATGTATATATGACTGTACGTGATATAATGACTTGAATGACAGGACTAATTTTTGAGTGTGGGTTGTAGACTGAGTATTATTACATTAAATATTACATCGTATACATTTCAATCTGTGGCTACACTAGAAAAATTTCCTTTTAAATATCATGAAAATGTCCGAAGCTATCAACCAGTGTGCTATGCTGAGATTTGAGGTGATGTTTAAAAAGAAAAAAGGAAATGGGGAGCTTTATGCATTCCTGAGAAAATCAGCCATTATTCTCTTTCATGGTACCTGTGCAGCATTTTTCAAAATCTGTCATGATTTTGTTTACTTATTTGCTGTCTCTCTCCCTCACTATCATGCACGCTCCATGAGGTTGGTACCATGTCTATCTTATTCATTGTATTATCCCAGCATATAGTAAAGGACCTGGTGCACAGTGGGTGCTCAATATATATGTGTTGAATTGATTAATAAAAACCTTTATTCATCCACTGTTATGTTCTGCCCCCAACAATGTTTCCCCCATTCTTTCTCTTCAAAGCATTCAAAATGACCCTACAATGTAAATCCCATGATGTCACTCTCCTGCTCAAAACTCTCCAGTGGCTCCCCAGTGTTCTCAGGATGACAACCATAATCTGCACATGCTGTATTCTCCAGCTTCTTCTCATAGCATTCTTTTCCTAGTTCTATCTGTTCAGCCACCATACCCACCTCTTTCCAGGTCCTGAAATGTACCATGGTCCTCCTGTCTTCAAAGTCTTTTCCCCGTGGCTCCTGCCCAGAACCTCAACTGCCTCACTGCAGTCCAAGGCCATATATAATAGCTTCCCATCTTTTAATTCTCAGTTCAAATTATTTCCTCAGGGAAACTGTTCAACTTTCCATGTTTGTTCAAGTTCTTTTATTATATAACCAATGTTCTTTTCCTTTATAACGATTATCATAGTTTGTTCAATTATGTTTACTATTTCCCCAACTAGATTGTAAGATCCATGAGGACAGAAAGAAACCTAGTACAGTGCCTGATACAGAGCAGGTGTTCAATGAGTGTCATATGAACAAATTGGCCATGTGTATCTGCTCTTTGGGAAATTATCTGTTTGTGTCTATGAAACAAATTTTCCTTCTAAGAAAAAAAATTCTTTCTTTAGGTGTTTCCTTCCTTAATTGATATATAAAAGTTCTGTATATAATGCTATGTATGACACATATATTGCAAACATTTCCCTCAACATATTACTCACATATAATATTGATTATAAAGCTTATAAGGCTTGTTTGATCTATAAATTTTATATTTTGTACAGTCAGATCTATTTTTTTCTTTATATAAAGTTTTTTACTTTCATTCTTAGAAAGACCTTTTCCATCTTGAGGTCAGGTAGAGATTCACCTGTTTTTTTTATCAATTCATTTGTTTTTATTTAATACATTTAATGTTTAAACCTCTTGGATTTTATTTTTTGCTATATGTATGGTACAGAAGGGCTCTAACTTTATTATTACTTTACAATTAGTCACTGTAAAATGACTAATTATTTGTCTTATCAACATTTACTAAATAAGATATCTTTTCTCCATCATCATATACTCATATCCTATATATTTTGAGGCCTGTTTCTGAATTTTATATTCTATTCCACCGATTTACCCATTCTTTTATGAGTAACATTATTTTAATAATTACACCTTATATAGCCTCTAGGGAAAGCATATTCATATTCTTTTTCAATAATTTCTTAAATATTCTCAGCCCATTTTTCCTCTAGATCACCTTTATTATCATTTGTCAGGTTTAAGATTAATAAAGCAACCATCCTTCAATCCCTAATAAGATTTTGATACTTTGACTACATTTATAGATTAATTTTGGGAGGCTAATTTTATAATTTTTAGTTGATTCGCTTGGGTTTCTAAGTATAAAATCTGTCACCTTCATATAACATTAATTTTTTCCTCTTTCCAAAACTGATATCATTTTTAAAGACAGTATGAATTTAACTTAGAAAATCAAGAGTTAACTGAGTTTATTAGAATAGTAAAGACACTCAGTAAGTTGTCTATTTTCAAGATAAATATATAAAAAAATCAACGGCTTTCCTGAATTTGGTTCTCAAAATTGGTCTTTTCCTAGCCTTACTACATTGGCTAGAATAACAGAATGATACTGAATAAATATGTCAACTGAACATCTTTATATTGTTTATAAATTTAATGAAAACCATTCTAGTGTTTTACTATTAAGTATATTTGATTTCAAACAATCTTTTATTATATGAAAAAGTATTTTTTATTTATAGTAAGAGGTTTTATCAATAATAATGTTAAATTTTACTGAATGCCTTTTCGGCAACACTGAAGACGATGTTTTTATCCTATTAACTTATTAATGTTATTAATGTTACCATAATAGCTTTCCTAGTTTTAACCCTTCTTGCATTCTTAAACCTTAGTCACAGTGTTGGAGAATAATAAAAATTATGGGCTCTGATATTAGACATAAGTTATTGAATATCTGGCTTTACTGCTTCCCAGTGGTTTGACCTCAAGTTATTTCATTTTTCTGTGTCTTAGTCTCCTTACCTCAAAATGAAGAAAATACTAGTACTCATTTTTCCTAGGGTTATTTTAAGAATTCAAAGAGATATATTCTGAAAAATACCTACTATCAAACTAGCACATGGAAAAAATATTGGCTGTTGTTATTGTTCCTATATATTTCTGGATTTCATTTGCTAATATTTTATTTAGGATTCTTATATCTATATTTATACCTTAAGTCTTATAGTTCTCCTTTGAGGTCCTATCTTTATCCATTATATTTTCTATTGGGTTACTATTGGTGATAGGACAGGTTTTGATCTTTAAGTATTCATTATAAACATATACACATATATCATATATATATGTAATATATATACAGCATATATATAAATATACATCAGTATAATTTAAGCCTTTATTAGTTTTTATCATTTTTCAGTCAAGCCAAGAGGTCAATCCAGACCTCTTCAAGAGTCTGGATTATTAATTATAATAAACATAAATAATTACGTTTTGTGTCTTAGCCAGTAATTAAAAATCGTACTTCTCTTTTCTTAATCGTACTTCTCTTACTATGATGGATAGAACTTCTACAACACTGTAAACAATAGGGATGACAATAGGCATGATGGAAATGTCACTGGTGTTGAATTACAGAGCATGAAATTGGTTATTGAAATGAAATGTACAACCTTAGGAAATGACTACTGAGTGCCTCGTATGTGTAAAGAGATACAAAATGGCATAAGATAGTCTCTTACTTTGAGAGGAGGCTTAAAATGTAACTGAGGAATAAGACTCCAATTGAAGGTAGCACAAGTAGGTTTGTACATGACAGTGCAGAGAATGAGTTAAGAAAAGGAAGACTATCAATGGCTGATGTGGCTGTAGTGTAATTTTATAATTCTTCAGTGTATCAGATCAAGTATTTGTTCATGTTAAAACAAATATTATAATTCTGTATCACCACTTGGGAAGTATCTAATACCTTGCTACATACAGATTACAGTGAAATTTTATTAATTGGAGCACCCTGATTTAGACAATATATTGGATGGGTCTTGAGCTGAAATTTATTTTTGTATAACTTAAAAGAATTTTAAAAGATGTTAGGGTGATATTTAAATTGCTTCAGAAAATAAACTTTATGGCTCTAAGCATTGCAAATGCTCAATGTTAATGGCAAATTATTCTTTTCTATACAACACAGAAGGGTCCCAGAGAATTGGGCAAATGATATCCTGCCCTGTGTTTAAGAATTAAATTGGATATTACTCAGACATATTGCATATCAGTTACTATTTCCCCAAATTTTAATGGATGAGTTTATAATCAGTCAGTATTGATTTAGAACCCATTATTTTCTGAGTTTGATATAAAAAAACTACATAACAGAGGTCCTTAAAGTACATTATGAGACCAAAGGTGCTCATGTAGAGATGATAAAGATAAAACTGTAAGATATCTTATGGCAACATAAGTCCATGATTTAGTAACAGTTATGATTAAAATCACTAACAGGCCAGGTGCAGTGGCCCATGCCTGTAATCCTAGCACTCCGG